AGGGAGGGAAGGTGGGACAAGGGAGGGAAGGTGGGACTCCCAACACACCCACACTTCTGCTGCTCCTGGCTGCTGGAGCAATCCCACAGGGAGACAGGCTCACCACAAGATGGAGAGGTCCTGAAGCTGTGTCCTCATCCCTGGCTGAACACAGGTTAAATAAATGCAAAGGTGACACCGTTTCCTTGGCTGGAGGCTGGAGGAGGCAGTGATCCCCCTCCCCAGGAGCATCAGGAGGCACTCCCTGAGCAGTGTCCTGACCAGGGAGGCAGACAGGGTAATTTAAACAAACAAGGCCCCAGTGATGGAAATTTCAAGCTCAAAGCTACCATATGGAGGGAAATCATCTGACCACAATTTACCTGTTAGACTTCAAAGGTGTCTAGGTCTCCTCTAAATAAAAGCAGTCTTTTCTTTAATGAAGTTAAGTACTGTATTTCAGCACCATGTGTTGTGAAAAGGAAGCAATTTGGATTAATTTACTGAAATTTACCTTTCAGATGCAGTTAAGTGGAATTAAAAGTTTGTCTGAGTTGACAGAGTTCTGTTTTCCATCACTGCATTGTCTTGAAAGAAAGGATAACAGGCTAAGTGCTTAAATTCCATCCAAACTGATAAGGTTCACTCTGTACAGGCAAACTCAGTGTAGTTTATTGCATATTGTCTCCCTTCATCCATCATTGCTACACATTTTTTTTCCCCTAAAACAACTGCTTCTTCCAAAATAAATTGATATTTGTGATGTTATTGCATTCATCTGAGGTTGAACAGTCTGCAAAGGGCTATCAGAGAGCTGCCATTTCTACTTACACGGAGAATTCATTTCATTTCCCACTAATGGCAGCTTCTGCAGGACTGAGCTTACATCTGGGACAAGAATTTCTTTTTTTCTCTTCGGAGAACAATTCCTTCCCCTTAATTTCTTTCCTGTTGAAGTGTGTGTGTCCTTAGCCTCTTTCCAAACACCACCTTCACCCAGATCTCTTCCTTGGCAGTGGGAATTAACTTGCCCTTTACATCTTTTCTTCTTTTTTTCTTCCCACCACTGTACTTCTCTCTTTCACATCCCCTAGCTGCCACTGCTCCTTCCAAACCTCACCCCTCCCACAACACCCTCCCGGTTAATAACTCCCCTCTCTCCTTTCTCCCAGGAGTTTTCCTCCCTCCTTGCCTTAGGTCCCAGGGTAACTCCTCCCAGCAGCTGGGAGAGGTTCTCCCTTTTCCTGGGCTGGTTGTGTTGGTAGCCTTGAACCATTTGACTGCTACAACAAAGGTGCAATCCTGACCTGCCCTTCACTGACCACTCTGAAACCTCACAGGCATTGCTCTCTTCTTTCAATTAACTGAGCATCTCGTCATGAAAAGCCAGTGAATGATCTGTAATTAATTATTTATATTACATGGGGAAGCCTAGCTAACACAGTGTCAACAGGAACAATGACGCTCTGTATGCCAAACTGAAGCCCTGCAGCCTGAGGGTTTTGCCTCCCCTCCCTGCTACCCCAGTTGGGTTTTGGCTATGGTAGATAGCCAAGGTTTGAGTTTTGCCTAAGTTCAAACTTCTCCCAAGGACAGACTTCAGATCTGCACATTTCTGCAAAATCAAGCAGTTGAAGAAAAAAAATCTTGCTACTTGAAATCTCCATTTAATTTTGATTCTTGACAAGCCATTTCAAACAGAAACTGCAGTCAGGCAGGACTTCTTCAGTTTGTTTAGATTTTGGGGGAAGGAGGCAGAAGGGAGAGGAAACCACACATTTCATCAGCATTTTTTATTTTTTAATAGCCTTCAGTGCAGCCGATTACCCAGGAGATCAGCAAATCTTAGCTCTGTCAAAGACAGGGAGGAGACAGAGCAGAAGCTTTCTCATCCTCCACAGCAGTACTAACCCTCCAACACACAAATCTAAACACTGTCCACTCAGGGGTGCCAACTCAAATGCCTCAGCTGTTAAGACAGAACAAAAAGAAAAGGACAATCTCCAAGGTATAATTGAAAGTAAATACTAATAATGATGTGTGGCATTAAATGATGACTCATTTTTCACGAGGCCATTTCAGATTGTAGCCATAACCTTGGATCAGACCCGAATGACTGTGAGAGCTGAAGTCTTAGTGGAACCATTAATTATGGATTTCCTGGCTTTTATAGGTTGGAGTCAGACCTTTGATGTTCCTTTAAGATTGTTCTCCTGTGTTCATTTCCTTTGTTTCTGTGTTGGTAGCTTAAGAAAACACCCCAAGATTTCCATGGAAGTGTATGAAATCGCCTAGAAATGCGTAGTCCATAAAAGCCCTGCAATTCATGGCTCATAAAGTCCTCTAATCCATGGTCAATAAAGCTTTGGAAAAGAGCTGTATGAACCACAGTCATTTCACAGTTCAATGAGGTTCATACAGGAATCAATAACCTGGTTTAAATTTGCCTGGATTTGTCCTCCACCTGTATATTTCTCTTTGACTTTTCGGGCTGAAAGGCAGCTCCAAGAGCTGAATTCTGGGGACTTTGCATGGAAACAATGAGCTTTATGCAGCTTTCCCCCAAAGGCTGTAACAAAGACCTAAGTCTCTCTACTTTGTCTCAAAGGTGAACAATTCAAGTTTCAGGTGACAACTGGTGAGTTAGGGAACTGGAGGAACAGCCATTTGGAAGGATGTGGCCATAGATCAAGTTAATACTGAATGCAGAGACTTCAGTCCATACAGAACATCCAACTGAAGTGTGTGCAAATGCACAAAGGATTTTTGGGACAGGCCAGAGAGAGAACTCCCTAGTACACCAATTACCATTCAAAAATGAGTGCTAAGTCTCACTGCTGAAACATTAATGACGCAATGCAAAGGAGTCCACGTTTCTCTCCTTCACAGGTAACACTCTATTGCCTGTATGATCACCCACCCTGCTTGTTTCTTCCCAAAAAATGATCACCATACAAGGTCTGGTCACAGACACACATTTCTGCTCTTTTCTTGCCAATCAGAAAGGAACCAGTTGGAGAGAACTCACTGTTTATTGCTTTGTGCAGGGTCCAGCTTGCAATTAATGCTGATGAAACCCAACTGCCAAAAGCACAATATGCAGCAGCTGGTTTATGAAAGTTGAGACCCCATCCAATTTATGGGGAAACCAGAGCTGGTTGTGAGTCTCTGATTTAGTGAATTTGTATTTTTTGTTTTGCTTTGTTTCCAGGAAAACACCAGAAGTTACTCCAGAACTGTAGAAGGACTAAAACCATCTGAAAGCACTAAGGCAGGCTTCCCTTCTTCCAGCCTTTCCTCATTTCTAGGCCTGTGATCTCCCACTATTATCTCCCTGGGATCTTTCAGCAAGGCAGGCAACACACAGTGTCTGGTTCATCACCAGCATGGTGGGAGCGGAAACTTGTGTTTCCTCACCCCAATCTCCACCCTTATGAAATGGAAATAGAGGGATAAAAGGCTTTGATTCAATTTAACTCTAACCTTCAGAACTACCTCTTAAATACCTTTCCTAGGAACATTTAATAAAACCAGCAAAAGGTGCAAAAATCCCTAAGCACCGCTTTAAGCTCCCAACTGCGCTGTTTCCACTGCCAATATCCAATATCCTTTCTGGATAAATAGGACAGGGGTAGGAGGATTGTGCCCAAGTGCCAGGCTCCTACCAGATCTGTTTAATCACCTCACTTGTACAACACATGAGGAACTGGACCACAGACCCTTGTGAAATGCTGGGACATCATGGGACACCACAAGTCAGCAGCCTCCAGGCAGAAGGAGAGAAAAGTCCCTTGTATTTGAGGTAATCATCTATGGTGAACCAAATGCCACTTAGTTCATGCTTAAACACCCTCTGTGTAGGGGATCCAAACACTGAACACACTTTGAAAGGAAAATACATGAATCCTTCTTACAAGGCTGGCACTGACCTCAGAAACAGCCTTATTACATTAAGATTAATATGCACCACCTTAATAGCAGCCCTTACATCATTCACCCTGAGAAAACAATAAACTACAAAAAATGAGGTAACTGCTCTATTAAAAAGAATGAATAAAAAGAATAGTAATAATAATTAAAATCTGAAAACACAAATACGTGAAAGGTTTTTCTTAGCAAAGGGAGAAACCTCTGAGAGACTTGCAAAGAACTTAGGTGCTATGAAAATGGGAATACGTAATGCTCAAAGACAATCATTAGATGTGGAGGTGAGCAGTCAGTTCCCAACATATTACTTAGTTTCTTCTACTTGTTAGAAGATCGATAAACAGTGTGGCTGTTTATCTGCCCATGACTTGGCCTGGATAAAGGCACTAAGAGCTTTAGAGGTGGGAGAATGAATTGCCCAGGAATCCTAAAAGCACACACTGAGAAGCCCTGGTCAAACATGAAGGCTCTTATTCAAACACTGAATGGGAGTTTTTAACCTCAGACCAAAATTGGAAGAGCCATGGAAAAATGCCTTCCTCCATTCTCCTCACATAGAGGATTTAGTTAAGTACTTCATTTTGCTTCAGTTTGCTATTTTCAATGCAGTCTGAGATGTTAAAACATTTCAGCCCCACAACACAGTTAAGCAGGTTGAAAGTCAGATTTGTCAGAATCTTAAAAACTCTCAGGAATATTCTGTATGGTTGGAAAATGGGCAAGCCTTTAGGCTGAAAACTGCCAGTACAGATAGGAAAAGAATTATTGGAAGAAAAAGGACAAGGACAGAGTATTTTCTATTTTTTTTCTTTTCCTGTTTTTTACTCTGACAAGTCTTTGTTTCTGTGTACTTTAAATATTTTAAGGATTAATTTTTTTCCTCTTTGCTTTTTGATCAAACATGCCTATGAGCATGCCTATTTTCCTCCTAGCTCATCATTAGGCCAAGAAAACATCATCTCACTCTCTGTGTCTCCCAGTTAACCTTTGTCCAACCCTCCCTATCGTCTAATCAACAAGAGCTGGGATCTGCAAAGAGCGTGGAGTTAGGAGCCGGCAGGAGGAGGACAGGGAGCACCGCAGCCGTGACTCACCTGTCCTCTATCCGAACCCAGAGGTCGTTGAACTGCCTCTGGCGATGGTGTTTGTGCTGCTTCTTGTGCCACTTCTTCTGCCTGCCAAACTCCTCCAGCTGGCTGATGCTGTCAGGCAACAGGAGGTGAGGAGACAGGCTGTCCTCTTCGTCCATCGGCTGTGGCTTCAGGGAAGGAGACGCCAGCGGGACCTGCTCTGAAAGCTGGACAGGGGGCAGGGCTGTCACCGAGGGTCCCTCCAAGGCTGGGCTTGTCTTTGTCGTCCTTGAACTGCAAAACACAACGTTTAAATATGAGTAAAGGAGGAAGAGCGCCAAAACAAAGGTGAAAGCAGAAGACTGAACTGCTCGGTGGGTGCCCCTGACTGCTGAGAAGGTGCACAAGGCTTTTGGCTCTGGGGCAGCAAGTAAAGACAGCACTGGCATTTCCTAGGAAGCCTTCAAGTAAACACTTAACTGAAAAATGGAGAAATGGCAACAGATACTCTATTGCTGTTTTCTGGCATTTTAATGACTTCTTGGAAGCCTTAGAGTCTGTGGTAGGGGTCAATGTTCCCTCCTCTGCTGGGCTGAAGGTTTAATGACAAAACTCTCTCCAAGCTGGCAAATGACTCTCTTTGAGGAAAACAAATACCTGAAGAGAACCTGATCTTAAATTAACAAGTTAACACAAATTATCTCATTATCTCTTCCTCCTCCCCCCACCCAGTTTTGCATATCATCTGTAGAAAGCAAGACATTGTTTTAACTGCAACAAGAATTATGTCTTCTCATCCAGTCAGGATTGGGGACAAGGGAGCCTAGGCTGATGACAGAAGCATGGAAGCTTGGCAACTGGATGGGATATGTGAGACCTGAACTCCAGCAGGTAATGAAGAAAAAAGGGGTAAATGACCTGTCCAAAGCCTCCTTGAAACAATTCTGCCACAGCTCTTCAGTCTTGTCTGAAGTATTACCACCTCTTGTACACGACTGGAATGATGCAGAAAAAGACCTTTTGTTTTCATCTTCTAGAGTTTCACTGATTTTAGAAGAAAGTCAATATATACTCTCTCCTTTGGTATGTAGCCATGTGAACTCATTGTGAGCTAAGATAGCTGAAACAAAAATCTAATAACCCAGGACTGACATAAAGTTATTTTTCCCCCCTAACTTCAGCAGTTCATATTGAGTCTTAATTGCAAGAAATTTTCCTGTCCCTGAGATGGGCAAATGAGTTGTATGTACAGAAAATGGGAGAGAATTAATAGGCAATATGAAGCTGTGGTCTGCAAAACTATTTCTATTACATGGATGCTATGACTTTTATGACAGAAACAATTAAAGCCACGTGAAAGATTTTGCCTCCTGAGTGAAACCAGTAAGACATTTTAATGAAAAAGTAATAAAAAATCCTAAACTTCATTGGTGACAATGTACAAAATGTGCCGCAAGTGAAACCACATGTTTCATTTATGGAACATTTTGTTCTCTTCCAAAATAGTCACATCTACTACTAATGGCAGCTTTTTTCCTTTTCGACTTTCTTGAAGTCTGTCACAATACCAGTCTTGATGGTCACCTCTATTTCCACTGCATTGTGTTTCATCCAAAAGTCCTTCCAATACCTACTGATAATTAATTATTGTTACTACAAGACTCACTGGCAAATACTACAGTAACTTTGTCACTTGTAACCAACATTCTTTAAGTCCTTCAGAGATTATACAACAGATAGAGAAAAACATAAAGTTTTCTAAAACTAATTCTAAAATCCTTCATGCTTGGTTTTATTAACAAAACACACATGAAAATCCCTTTTATTTCTTCTTTTCCCAAGCATTCAGACTCCCAGTGAGTCCTTTCCAAACTCCTTCATACTCACTCCATGCTCTATTTCATATCACAGATAGATCTGCTGGTACTGAAATTTTTTCCCCATTAAGATTTTCTTTCATGTTTCATGTTTAGGCCAAATTTTCCCCAATGCAGCAATTTCCTTTGAGAGCTCTTGGTGCTCTCCAAAGCCTTTTAGAATTCCTCAGCTATGGCACAGGCTCATGGCTGAATCAAAGCCATCTCCAGACTCACATAAATGAAGAGATGCTCACAGGGTTGCACTGGGGGGGGGTCTCTCAGGCCACGGTGGAGAGTTCTTAATTTTTATCCAACCATGATGGTGGGTCAGCAAAGTACCAACATCCAAATGCAGCTCTTTAGCAGCTCGGAGGTTAACACAGTGTGAAGTTAGACAGGAGAACTCAGGCAGGTAGGAAGGATCAAGCACCTACAGACACCACATGGGTGCTGAGAAGGCAGCAGAGACCAGTGGGTGGCAGGAAGCCGCTGGAACTGAGCTGTAGCCCAAATTTCAGTTTCCATTGACTTCCTTCTCCGTGCCTCACGCTCTGATCAGTCAGTAACTCCCTGAGATGCTGCAGGCAGGAGCAGCCCCCCATGTGCCAGCTCAAGGCTGGGGCTGCCCTTTGGTTCCTTGAGTGGTCTCAGGGATATCTGAACATGTACTTTCCACCTTTTAACACCTACTATTTTCTTACATGTGTTTACCTTGCTCTGAGCTCCCCGTAAACTGGAACCAGTAGAAAGGTGTTTTTATGGGTTGAGATTTTACAAACCACTTAAGACGACTAGCAGCTCCCTTCTTATTAAAATTAATGACTTTGGGCATCAAAATCCCAGTGGTGGCTTTGAAAGTTTCTGGCTTAATTGTTTCCACTACCATCACATGAGCCACAGGTTGTAAACTTGATATTTCAGAACATTCTTTGGGAAGAGAATAAATAAACACTGGAGAAACGTTAAAATGCTGTAACCTAAAGAGGGTTATAAACTAACCACCAGCATGTTAGAGTCAAGTCAGGGGGAATAGATCCACTGTGGCAACTGGATATTACATTTGGTTGATAGTTGTTCCATTATGCCTGCACTATTTTTTTTTAAATTATTAGTAACTGCTAATAATTGCACCAAGAACTAAGAGGGACTTTTGAAAGCTTTATGTTGATGCATGCTTGCTCCTCTAAAAGAAAAGAAAGTTAGTTTTAAACTGATTTAATAAATCAGTTACAATATTTATACTATATTATATATAAAAATAATAACTATGATACAAACAAACGACAAATATTATAAAAATACAATCAATTCATTATCAACCTGGTTCTTTTAAAATATGACTGTCATCCTACAGACATTCTACCAGAAAGAAAATCAAAACAGAATATGGATATTTCATCCAAATATATTGCAAGACTATTTACAGATGTTAATTTAATGTAAGAAAGATTTCCTGTAAGATGATAATTTCCCCATTGATTTCAGTAAAAAATTTATTAAGACAAAAGGCTCGAATTTATTAATATTCTGGATTTTTCCTCTAAAAAATGAAAGTAAAAACCTGCCATCTGCAAAGAGATACCTGGACAATCGATCTCTGCATTACGTGAAGCTTTACTGTTAAATTCAACTGCTCATTTCATGGACTATTTCGTGCCTTTCCCCTGGTCTCAGTCTCTGTGCACTGTTAGCACAGCTGCACTGTATGAAACCATGGGGATATCATGGACTTTTTTTTCCATTCCTTCACTACTGCTGAGACAGCTTTTCAAGATACATAGTTATTTTTAAAGTCAGGGAAAAAAGCAAGGCTAGTTTTCAGTTTGTGAGGCCACAGTGCCTTTTCTGAAGAAAGAGTGAGAAAGTACCACCCAAATATCTTGGTCCACACAAAGATCTCAGAGATTTTTCATGAATAACTTGATACAATTCCAGGCTTAGAGGTTCCACCCATTTTTGAATGTATCATTCCCACACAGGGTGGTCTTGGAGAAATGAAAATTATTTCAGGCCCTTAGGTGGGTTTTTTTCATCTCTGACCTTAATTTCCTTCCCTGGGATGTACAGTCCTGTAAAACAAGTTCTCCAAAACAACCAAGTCCAAATAAGAAAACTTTGGAGCCTCAACAAATATCCTATGTGTCTTGGTCCTAAGGTACAAAAAACAGTGAAAACAGGAAAACATTTATTCCTGCTAGTTCTTGAAAACGCTTAATCCACAGACAAAGACCTCTGTGGTTTTCTTTCACTTCTGGTGAAATCTGCCATCCCTTTCTAATTCTTTTCAAGAATTAAAAGAACAAAACAAAACATGTAAGTTGTTTGGACTGAGCTGGATGCTCCATTAGGCTGTCTCAGCATTTCTCTCTCTGCCTTGTGGTCTGCAGTGTCACTCTGTGCTGGCACTGACCATTGAAAACTGACTCATCGCTGGCATTTGTTAGGGCTATTGAGTGGATCTGGTCAGAAAAATGACAGTAACACCACGATGTCCTGCAATACATTATTTTTATAATTCCCAGGCTTAAAACTGTACAGGTCAGGCTGGGCAGACCCCAGTAATGCCTCTGCCCTTGACCTACCAGCAATGTTCGGACTGAGCCCCATCAAGGCTCCCCATGGGCTTCCATGGGCCAGAGAGGGACTTGCCCTTGCTATATGCCTTTGCTGATGATACACATCTTCCAGACAACAAAACCATCAATCTAATTTTCTTCAGCAATCTTGTGGTAACATGTCTGTTCCCTCAGATATGTGCAGAATCTTCCAAAACCCCAGCCTGCCAATTTGTTATTTGCATCCTGAGCTTTGCAGCACGAGCGGTGGAAAAGCTTTGCCCAGAAGACTGCCGTGCTTTGCACGGGCTTCCAAGCACAGCAACATCACTGAGGTTTTGTTGCTTCGGTTCTCAGAACTGTCAGACAAGGGGAGATTTTGTTTCATCAAGAGAGAAGCTGCGGTGATAGTGAGGAATGTGCGATGTGGCAGCTCCATCCCCGTGCCACCGTTCCTGGGATGCAGCCGGCTGACGGCCAGACAGCGAGTTAAAAGCGCTTTATTGTGGACGGATTCTTGTAAATTCCACTCGGGGTGTCTTTGTGAAGGCAGGAATTTGTCAGCCCCTCGCACGCAGCCTCGCTCCCCTCGCCACAGGCCACGGAGACATCTGCTCCTGCCTTTGCTTTCCCTGCTCATCCCTCTGAGAGAGTCATGCTCACCCACAAGATGGGCACCACAGTGTCCTGTCCCACGAGGGGTTTTGCTTTCTTTCCCCTCTTCCACGCTAGGATGAAGCTCAGACTTTGAAAGCTCTTGGGATAGAAGCAAACAAAAGAAGAGAAAAGCAGGCAGAAATCCTAAACCCACCCCAGCACAGCCTATAGGGCCTCTCTCCAGTGATGGGAAGTGTGGACTGAGAGCACAGACTCACATAAC